CTTATGCCCAATTAGATAATGTCTCTAGATTTTCAAAGCATGAACCACAGCTGCCAATTCCAAGTCATGAGTAGGGTAGTTCAACTCATGCTTCCTCAATTGTCTAGATGCATATGCCACCACTCTTCCTTCTTGCATAAGAACACATCCGAGGCCTAGACAAGATGCATCACAATATATAGAGAAGTTCTTGCTTAAATCTGGCAAAATCAACAGTGGAGCTGTAGTCAATCTCTTCTTTAGCTCATCAAAGTTTGCCTGGCATTTATTAGACCATACAAATTTAGCATTCTTTTCCAATAGAGCTGTCATAGGCTTAGCAAGCTTGGAAAAACCTTCAATGAACCTCCTGTAGTATCCAGCTAATCCCAAAAAGCTACGAATCTCACTTACATTGGTTGGTGGTTTCCAATTCAATACATCTTGCACTTTGCCTAGATCCACTGCTATTCCACCATTGGAGACAACATGACCCAGAAAAGAGACCTCCTTCAACCAAAACTCACACTTGCTCCGCTTAGCGTACAACTTATGTTCTCTAAGCTTTTGCAAGACCAACCTTATATGTTCAGCATGCTCTTCTTCAGTCTTGGAGAATATCAGTATGTCATCAATGAATACCACCACAAATTTATCAAGAAACTCCATGAACACCTTATTCATCAGATACATAAAGTATGCAGGTGCATTGATCAATCCAAAAGACATAACGGTATACTCATACAAACCATACCGTGTAGTGAATGCTGTCTTGGGTATGTCCGAGTTTCAAATCTTTAGCTAATGATAACCTGAGCGGAGATCAATCTTGGAGAACACATAGGCTCCTCTTAACTGATCAAACAAATCATCAATCATTTGCAAAGGGTATTTATTCTTGATAGTAACCTCATTAAGTGAACGATAATCCACACACATCCATTGGGTACCATCCTTCTTATCCACAAAGATCACAGGTGCCCCCCATGGGGAAGAACTAGGGCGTATGAAATCTTTTTCTTGCAACTCTTTTAATTGTTTCTTAAGCTCTTCTAATTCATTAACCCCCATTCTATATGGACGTTTAGCTATTGGTGCAGTTCTAGATAATAATTCAATAATGAATTCAATGTCACGATCAGATGGCATACCTAGCAAGTCATCAGGGAAGACATCCGGGAACTCCTCCACCACACGATCTTGTTTATTAGCATCACCATCCAGCTGGTTCACAGTGGCTGTTGGTTGAGCTTGCACTACCACTTCTACATAGATTCTATCTCCATTGGGTGATGTCACAACAACAGATCTCTCCTGACACTGAATCACTGCCCGGTGTTATTTCATCCAATCCATACCCAGAATAAGATCAATTCCCGCTATTCTCAACACAATAGGTTTCACTTTGAAGTCTACTCCCCTTAAGGAAATGCTAGCTGAGGGACTCCAATAAGAAGCTGGCATGCTACCTCCTGATGAATTTACTAGTATGGGGTTTTTCATGGCACATAAAGGTATGCTATGCATTCTAACAAAAGCTTGGGAAATAAATGAATGCAAAGCATCGGTATCAAAAAAGTACTATAGCAAAGATAGAGTTGACACTGAACGTACCCAACATGACCTCAGGCGTCTCCTGAGCTACATCAGATGACACATAGTTCACTTTTGCAGTGTGAGGTGGTCGGGCGTTGAACTTCGGATTGCCATTCTGGTTCTATGGAGCTTGCTGGTTCTGCTTCTTTGGACACTGATGAGCATAGTGACCTACTTCTCCACAATGGTAGCATGCGTTGGGGTTATTGGGTGCACCACTCTTCATAGGAGCATTGTTGGGCATTCCCTGGCGTGATGCCGGATTGCCGGTCTGTTGCTAGGGACGCTGATTACCAAACTGTTGCTGGTATTGAGGGCGTTGCTGGAACTGGTTACGCTGAGGATACTGACCACGGTTTCCCTGGTTAGAGGGTCCTTGATTCCTCTGCTGAAAACCCTGCTGGGGATAGGCACGCGGGTGGGTGTTGCTTCCAGAAGCTTGCCCTTGAAGCCTCCTCTTCTTGGCTTCCATCTCTTTGCGCTTATCGTCAATCACAATAGCGCGGTTCACCAATGACTGAAAGTTAGGGTATGTGTTGGACATAAGTTGGAGCTGCAGGCCATCATAAAGTCCCTTGAGAAAGCGGCGTTGCTTCTCCCTATCCTCAGCTAGATCATTTGGAGCATAGCGTGATAGTTGAGCAAACTTGTCACGATACTCCGCCACAGTCATGGATCCTTGCTTAAGGGACCTGAATTCTTCCTGCTTCAACTCCACTAGTCCATCGGGGATATGATATGACCGGAAATTGTCCTTAAATTCCCGCCAGGTGATAACAAGAGCATCGTTGGGGCGTCCATACTGGAAAGAATCCCACCAATCCTGAGCTGCTCCCTGGAGTTGACCAGAAGCATACAACACCTTCTCAAGATCATTGCATCGTGCTATGTTAAGTTGCTTTCCCACAGCACGCAACCAATCGTCTGCCTCCAAGGGGTATGAGGCATGGGTGAACACCGGAGGGCGACCCTTCATGAATTCTCAACGCTTGTTCCTCTTGCAGGTTCGTTATCCAAACGTTGCATCATGGCTTGCATCAACTGTGCTTGCATTCCCATCAATTGCTCCATAGTCACTGGTGGCGGTGGTGGTGGATTCATGGGAGCACCACGACCATGACCATGGCCTCTGTCTCTTCCTCCTCTTGCGGCCATCTGTTTACCAAACAAGTGTGCAAAATTTTAGAGATTTCCAAATTATAGAGAACTTATAAAAGATAATGAACAACGCTGAGAATTTTTTGGACAAGATTCAAATACAACAGTTCGATAAATATGTCATAACTTGAGTTTTAGAGAACCAAAAGAGGCATACCAAGAATGGTTAGAAAGCTTAAGAGATCAGCTACAACTTTTATTTAGAACACTTTTACGGATTCTGATATATACATGGTCAAAAACAGAGCTAAACCGAATCTGTTCTGGGTTCCAATCTGCGCAGAAACATCAACTTGTGACAGCTAGATCTCACAAACCTAAACAGATATTGATGTGATTCTAGAGACATTTGAAAGATACAGAAGTCTAGATATCTCCACAAAAATTTCAGAATTTTTGGCAGCTCAGATTTCGAGATACAAGGTAAAGAACACAGGCTGCTCCAGAAAACAGCACAGCAGAGATATGATAAAGCAAACCCATCTGCATTAAGACCTTATCTAAACTTAAGGTTCAAATCTATGGAATTTATGGACATGCCCACAAACCTCCAGCAATCAAACAAACTCCAAATCATCCAAGTTCACAATTAAAAACATCTAATCACTAAAGTTCACAAGACAAGATAAGACTAGACATGACACACGAACTAACAACGTCGTAGCTTTAAACAAGGCACCTAACACCTATGGGGTGGTGTCAACCATGGTGAACGACCGAGGCTTCTTCTTGTAGATCGGTGGCATCCCAAGTTGAGCACGCAGTTCGTCAACTTGCTTCTGGAGATGCCTCCCGGCCCTCTGCGATGCACGTAGCTCTCCCTTGACTTCTTCATCTACCCCCTGCATGGCATGGACATGTTGCACTGTTGCTTCCAGAGTTGGATCACTTTCTAGGGGTGCCAGGACCTGCCAATTACCCTCATGATCATTGCGAGGAAGAAACCTAAAACGATCCTCCTTCATGGCCTCAAAACGACGACCATGGTAGTAGATGTAAGCGTCCTGCGCTGCATCTTCTATGCCATCCAATGCATAAGCCCGTTTGGCAGTGGCACTGTGGATAGTCTCCACCTCATGTGCATTCTTTATGTCGTTTCAGGCGGTGACCACCAGCTCTACCTTCCAAAAAGTTGCCTCCAAAGGGTGCTGGTACTCTGCACAGTGATAGTTGATGGAGGCGTGTAGGTCAGTGTAGTAGTCATCCAAAGGGGGAGAGAGAGCTGAGGGAGAGGCGGCGACGCTACAGTACCGGCGGCTCTACAGTACCCGCGGGTACTATTCACAGCGGCGGCGGCTAGGGCTGCAAGGGCGCTGGGGGAGGCCGGCCGCGGGGCTTCGCCCACGGCCGGCAAGAGAGAAGGGATTTCCTTTTAATCTCTTGCTTGATTAGATTGATACATCTCCTCTCCTTATATAGAGAGGTTTACTTGACTCTTAAGCAAGCGACTAATTAACCCTAACGGGCTAAGGCCCAATAGGCCCTTGACTCCTCTAACACTACTCCCCACCCGGACATGCAGCTCATCCTCGAGTTACGACCTAACAATGATGCTAACTATGGCTTCACTAGACACAAACTGAACACCTAAGAACAAGCCTTTTACATCTCGGCTTATTTCAAATAAACTCGACTCTTTATTCTTGAATCCTGAAGATGCGGCGGACACCCTCCGCGTGCTGGACAGGCTCGAGTAGCCGCCTGGATCCCATGGAGACCATCGAAACGAGAGGGTTGCACGGGTACGGCTGTCTGGAATCAATCGCAACAGCGACTAGCGGAGACGACCTCGTGGCGGCCGACAGCGAAATGCGGCAGCGCTAGGCAGTGCGTCTCTGCCGGTGACAAAGAGGAGTGCGCTTCTTCTATCATCACTCCCATAGAACTGGAGTGCGCCGCCTGCGGGAACAGCACCATGCTCGCGCCTGGAGACAGCAACGGGTCGGTGCGGTTGTTGGTGGCCGTTCGACGGGGCGAGGTCGTGCCCCCCCTTGCCGAGGTCGATCGCCGTCAAGGCCGCCTCATGCATCTGCCGGCGCATCTCCTGCAGTCGGCGCCGCGCTAGGAGGCCGCGTGCTGCAGCCTGTAATCGCACCGTCGCAGACTGACAATCACTCTTCTGCGCAAGCGCCACTTGCACGGTTGCTGCCGCAGTGGCGATCTGATCGCTCGGCTGTGCACCTGTGAATGGAGGCACCGGCACACCGAGGACGAGGCCCGCCGACTGCGCGCCCGCGGATGAGGGCACCGACGCCGGCTGTGCGCCAATGTTATGGACAAGGGTCGCGAGGACGTCCATCTGGCGCTGCAGGTGGTCGAAGGTCACCATCCACTCACCGAAGGCGCCTGTGGAAGGTGCAAGCTGCTGCGCAGGCAAGGGCGCCACAGTGGCTGTGGCGGTGGTGAACACGGGCGGAGCTGCGGAGGACAGGGCCAGCGTAGCCCAAGGATGTGTGCCGAGCGGCGTGGAGATGGGCACGGCGGCGTAGGATCCGGCCGGCGGCGCTGCGGAGAACAGGGCCGGCGCAGCCCAGGGATGTGCGCCGAGCGGTGTGGAGAAGGGCACGGCGGCGTAGGCTCAAGCAGCGCTGTATAACAAGGCATGCTGCCATGCGTATAGGTGAGGACACTTTCCTGAGGTCACTGGTTGCACTATGCATGCACCATGCTTATTTAGGCTACTCATCAGAAGTTTCATCTATTTGTCAGTGAGATCATGTGTTGTAATGCTTCAAATTAATGTATCTAGGTGACAAACTATAAATAAATACTAAAAACCATTAACAAAACTACAAGAGCCAGAAATCAAGGTCTTTAAAAGGGCGTACCCAGTGCAGAGAGCTCCCGCTCTGTGTGGAGATTTTTTATGGAGTCATTTGGAATCTCTTGTTCCACCATCAGAACACTTTAAGTTTTTTTTTTAATTGTTCATTTAATTTCTGCATCTGTTTGGACCAGAGAAGAAAGCAAAAAAGCTGCAGAATGTTTAAGGGAAGCTTTGCGAGACTACAATCTCAAATTTGGTACCATACTTAACGATCAAGACTTGGCGCCATTCAGAGCATCACCAGAATTCAAGGAACTTCAAGAAGAGGTTTGTGACTTTGAACTTCACTGCATTACTGCATGCTGGAGAAGAAGTAATCTGCAGATCATAGTCAAAGATTGGGCGATTTGAGTTCTGATTTTGACCAATTTAATGTCCACCATAAGATCTTCTATATCTTGTAACTTCATTTCAGGCTTTGCGTGGTGGAGAAGATATTGGTTTTGGCTTCCGAAGAGACCTGAAACTCATCAGTGAAGTACAAGCTCCATTTCGTGGTGTCCGAAGATTCTTCTATGTAGCTTTGACAGCAGCAGCTGGAATTTCAACATTCTTTACCATTCCCCGACTTGTACTAGCTGTTCGAGGGGGTGATGGCGCTCCTGATCTTCTGGAAACTGCTGGAAATGCTGTCATCAATATTGGAGGTAAATTGGCATGCTTCATGCCCTGAAAGATAGTTCTTGCATGGTCGCATGGAGTTAAACAGTCAGGCCACATGTCTTTTTTTGCTCCACTGTGACATGGCAACTATGTTTTCTTATGTCGAAATATCTTGAATAACTATTTCTTTGTGGGATGCTTCAACAGCAACTTCCACAAGTAAATAAATGTACCCCTTATATTTTACTATTTCATTGATCCTGATTAGAGTATCAAGTTTATGCTATCTGTCTCACACTTTCAATTAAACTAAAATAATTAAACTTTTGAATCAGTATGCCGCAGGTATTGTTGTGCTGGTAGCTTTGTATTTCTGGGAAAACAAGAAAGAAGAGAAGCAGATCACACAAATTTCTCGTAACGAAACACTTTCAAGATTACCTGTGCGCCTGTCAACCAATCGCATTATTGAACTTGTTCAACTCCGGGACGTCACTAGGCCTGTTAGTATAACTGTCTTCATTTTTAATGTCCACTGCTGAAATTAATTTCTTTTTCTCATTTATTTCTGAAATCTTTATTCAGTCACTTTTCATTTGAGGCGTATTTTAGGTGATATTGGCAGGTTCAAAAGCATCTGTTACTCGGGCATTGCAAAGAGCTGAGAGGTACCGGACTGAACTGCTCAAACGAGGCGTTCTTCTATTTCCTGTGATCTTTGGTGCTTCTCAGAAAGACCAAACCAAACCAAGGGGTTTTGGTACAAGAAGAGCTGCTGCATCAGTTCCTTCTGTTGGGGTTAGACCAACCTTACATATTGGCTAAATACCAAAAACCTCACCTGCTTTAGTTTGTGTGTGTTTTACCAAAAAATTGGTCCATAGTTTAATGCAATGTTGATTTTGACAGGGTGACTTTGAAAAGCGTACTGAATCTATTGCAGCAAAGTCACGGTTGAAGTCTGAGGTTCGATTTAAGGCTGATATTGTCTCCCCTGAACAATGGGGAAAGGTGCATTTCTTTTGATGTATATGCAGTTTGTCCTATACTGTATATCTAACTTCAATAAGTAGCAAGACTGTTTTTCACAAATACATTTTTTTTATTTCTAACATAGAACAATAACATAATTAAGGTACATAGATTGTGTAGCAGAACAAAAAGGGAAATTATTAGACAGATATATAAACTTACAATCCACCCTACAAGTCAAGGATTCCGATCTTCCCCTCTATAGCACACACCATACTTAAAACTTGAAAGCCATATCGCCCACTCAGGTAAAGAAGTAGGGTTTTTTGGGCCAATGCAGCATTACAATGGACATTGTTAGCTGTAAAACCACAAAATATTGAAAAGATACGGTGTCCTTTGTTTCTCCTCCCATAGGCCATAGGTATGACTGCAGAAAAAACATATCCATATGTTTAGGTTCTGATATGTCATCTATCCCTTCTACTGGATCCACATATTGATAGGACCTAAGGTAAGAAATAATCTGTCTCAAGTTTGGAGAGTTTGACACTGAAAGATACCATAGTTTTTCTAAATTTCAAGATATATATACTTGTTTAACTCCCTTTTCTAGTCTGTACCCTTACATTTTTTTCTCTCTACGGGCCGCTACAGAAATACTTCAAGTGCAGTCTTGTTCCTTTTCTTTTATTGTTAGCATGGTTCTAGATGCTTGAATGTGGTAATTTACTATCCTGAGTTTTGACATCTACTCATACTTATTATGGTTCAGTTGGATACGGGATCAGCAAGAGTCCGAAGGTGTCACTCCTGGTGAGGATGTCTACATAATCCTTCGTCTGGATGGTCGTGTCAGAAGATCTGGAATAGTAATTATTCTCTGTTCTCAGTTTCACTTTGGTACAAAGAAATTTATTACTTGGTTTTGTATATGTAATAGAAGTACTGAAGTAGGGGAATATAATTCCATAGTTGAACCAGACAAAGAGGGTCCAAATGACATTGAATCTAATATACCATAATAGTAGAAATAATAATAACTGACTATGTACATGTGATATTTGTTATAGGGTATGCCAAACTGGAATGACATATTACAGGAACTGCCACGACTTGAAGATCTGATGAGCAAACTTGAACGGTGAAAAAGGTGTGCGTGCAGCTAAAATTTTACCATTACTCTTTTCTCCATTTCATTGTCCTTGCCCTTATCTATTGAAACTGGACCATTGCAGTTCTTGTACAAGATAGTGAAATTCTGCTATTTTGTTTATAGCTTGCCGAAGTTCTTCTGTCGTTTGCTAACCGCAATATAGAGGATTGATCTTTTTAAGAAGTAGATTTATGTGTCAGATGAAATAAGAACCAAAATGTTAAGAGCAGAAGGAAGAAAGTACGAAATTTATTGCGACTAGCACTATTCATTTTCAGATGGTTTACAATAATGCACTAAACGAATTTCTTAAGTGATGTTATAAAACATACTGCCATGGCACATAAAACCACTGTTTTTCACAACATGAGTATCCGTGGATCACTATAAGCCTTACAACCTCCTTAACTCTGAAATTGAGTTTTAATAGTTATAATAGCACCTCTCAAACCACATCTGTCATACTAATCTTAATTGGAGTATTAAACCAATGAAATTTAGATAGTTGGGAGATGCTTTGGTTAGACATCTTTTAGTTGAAATGGTGGAAGTGCGGGAACCATGTCATTTTTTCGTGCAAAGAATTGTCCCTAAAACAAGGCACGTTTGTATGTAATCTGAGTGGACATCATTGAACAAAGTGCAGATACTATACGTGTAAATGATCTAAAATGTTTTGAATTGTTAGGGAAAAGTCGAGCTTTTATGTGAAATTTTCAGTTATTTGCTCGGTGCCATTTTCCCCCAAGTTTTTGTGAGCATAATATCCCGTATGCTTTAATGTGAGCTAACAAGTCATTGCTTCTGGCTTACAGTTTTTTTCCTCATTAGAATACAAACAGTTTACTATGATGGACCGTGTGGAAGCGTGGTTGCCTAGGGCTCCTGTTTCTGGAACTTCAGTGCAGATCATAGCTTTTCACAAAACGTACTTGAAGTTGTTGGAACTATGGCACCCAGGGTCCGTTTGATTGGCCTTTTGGCTTTGGTTTTTTTCTCCAAAAGCCAAAAGCTTAACCAAAGGAGCTGTTTTTTATGTTGTTTTTTCAGCAGCTGCTTTTCCATAGTATATTTTTTAAAGCTGGTTTGACCCTGCTTTTGGCTTTTGGTTTTTTGCTTTTCGAAATTGATGGAATAAAAAACTCTTATATAGTTGTTTCAAGAGAGATAAAGATAGAAGGTATATTTTATACTTGTTTAACTAAATAACTTTTAGCTTTTATACAGCCTATAACCTACAGCAGCTTTTCCACAGCCCACAGCAGCTTTTTTCTATAGCCACGGCCTAACCAAACACACTCTCAATCTATTTTGAGAAGAGCCATCCCCCCTGGATTACAAAGTTCAGATTTCTCTCCACGTCCATCAATTTGTATGTTTCAACTGCGCTTGGTCTTGTGCCGGTGCACATGCGACATATATACATGACACACATGGGGTGCTCAAAATATGCGTGATCCGGTGCCTAGATATACAGGGTAAGACGTTTTAGGATCAATTTTGTGTTCCATGAAATGAAATGTGAAAAAGAAAACATTAACTGCTGGTCTCTGTGAGCAATGCGCGAGCAGACGAAAATGCATAGGCCTGGATTTAGCTACAGGTCGCTGACAAGAGTCTGCAGAGCGCAGAGTGTGGCAGAGCAGCAGAGATTGATGGCGTTGCAACCGAGAAGGATCTGTCTGGCACCGTCGATGAGCCAAGGGATCGCCGCAGCTCACGGAAACGGAGCCTGTTCGTTTGTGCTTGCCGCCAGTTTAGTTCCTAAAATTTTTGCCAAATACATGAAAGTTAAAATAAAGTAGCAGCACATCAAAATGCTAACACCAAAATTTTTTGCATTTTGCTGTTTAGTTGCCAAGAATTTTGCATCGAGATCAGCATTAAATAGTAGATTTCGGTTGTATTAATTGTGTTCCATGCAAACTGCTGGTGTAGACTCCATGCAAACTGTACGCATGGTACTTTCATGCAGTTACAAACTGGTTGCATGCAGATTATTGAATAGAATTTTCTCATTCAACAATTATTCAAACACATATAATGAACAGACTTTTCTCATCCAACATTCACAATAATTATTCATCCCTATTACATCACAGACTGTGCTCAAGCATTCACAGAAGCCGTAACACACTGTACTATAAAAACATGTACTGAACCACACAAAACTGTCAATTACGATCCATCAGAGCATTAGCAAGCGAATCACGGATGGCATTCATGCATGACCACTCCTCATCCTCCACTACCTCGGGTTCAGGTTGATTTTCATGAGCTTGTCTCGGCACAAAGTTCTCATTTTGGTCACACCTACCGAAATGCTTATATGCTAAGCCACTAGTCCTCACAAAATTATAAAGAGCCATACATGCACAAATGATTTGGGCTTGCTTCTCAGGTGAATAAGGAGGGATCTTTTGCAAGATCCGCCACTTCATTTTCAGTACCCCGAATGACCTCTCAATAACATTTCTAAGAGAAGAGTGTGTGTAATTAAAGAGCTCTTCTTTACTGAGCCCTATTCATATAGTTGTCAATGTGCACAGCAAACTGGTACATACCATGGAGAAACTCATCATCCTCGTCATCATTCATGAGCGCTTCCATCAACTCATCATCATCATCATCCAATATCATCTGCAGCAACTGTTGTCTTCTTGCATCTTGATCATCATCACCAACCTGTCATGGACAGAGACAAGAGCAAGTCAGTCATTTGATCAAACAGTCCATGAATCCCATGCATCACTCCCTATCATCCCACATGATCAAGTTTCAAAACAGCACATATATCCATTCCACAAGTTAATATAGGAAAACAGCAAATAAACCCATCATACTGCATAACAAGTTCAAATTTAACTGACACAACACAACAGGACACAACAAGTTCATACGCCCTGCACCAAATGCCCTACATGCAAATAAGGCTAAGTTTTCTAGTTGTCCACCGGGCCAGTCTGCGGGATATTCAGCTCGATGACGTGCATCTTCCCTTCCTTAGTGTCCTGGGCAAGGAAGAAGTCCATTTTAGTTTCTGATTGCACTAGCTTGTGCAACCTAGAAAACAAAGTCTTTGTTGTAGTACTGATGCCCAGCTCTTGTAGAGCTATCCTGGTGCACTCTGTTATCTTCCAGGACTTGTCCTTAACTAATCTCTGCAGCACTTCCTCCTTTCTGCTCTCTCTCTCCTTCAAGAACTATAGCCTCTCTCTGCTTAAGTCATTGTGTGTGGTCATTTGGATGGTCATTGACCTCACTGCTGGGCTCTTTGACCTCTTCTTTGAAATTTGGATGCGATTGTGCTTGCTTTCTACCTTTGGTCCTCTTGTTTCCAACACTCATAGGGGTCAGTTCATCCTCCTGCTCTTGTCCTGCTTCCTCATCAGAATCATCATCATTCAAGTCAATGGTCTCTCTTGCAGCAGGAACAAAGGAAGTTGTCCCATCAACTGTGTTTCCTTTGAACATGCCATGCAGCTGGTCCAAGTATGCAGGCACACCATCCCTTCTAATCTTCAGCAAATCATTGTCATCCTGTACAATATAGACCGATGTAGTTGTCAAGCAATTAGGGAATTAACATTTATTAATAACAGAGCAACCTATAGAACAAATTACCTGAGCATTGTCATTCCACCATTGGTCAGAAGTATGAATCTTTCCATCTGCATTTATACCTAAGCCAGTGTGGTTTTGTGCTTTGTCACACAATGTCCATATTTTCCTGAGTGTCCTCAGCTTGCTTTGAAGCTGTTCTCTGTCATGCATCAAGCCTGATGCTAAATAATACCTCCGAGCGACGTTCTTCCACCTAAATTTGTTCATCTGTCCTCCTATACAGTTCCCAGCATGTATCTCGGCAAGGTAGGAGTCACAGAACTTCTCTATGTTCTCTGGTAACCAATTTGCTTTATGCTTCTGAACCTAAACGGTGAGGAGGGACATCAATATTGAACAATAAACACTGACAAGCTTTAACAATAGACATGCAGCTAACACTAACAAGCATACAAGAACAATTCATAAACTGAGCTTCTAACAGATCAACATACATGAACATACTTGAACAATACACATGTAACTAACACTAACAAGCATACAAGAACAATTCAAAAACTGAGCTTCTAACACATCAGCATACATGAATAATTCATAAACTGAGCTTCTAACAAATGAACATACATCAACATACTTGAACAATACACATGCATCTAACTGAGCTTGTAACACATCAACATACATCATCATACTTGAACAATACACATGATCTAACTGAGCTTGTAACACATCAACATACTTGAACAATAGACATGCATCAGAGAAGGTGCTTGCCGGGTTAGGGACAGCGTAGGAGCCGTCGAAATTGTCGCCATGGATGGCTAGCCCCGCCCCTGCAGCACGCTGGGCGGCCGCCCGCCGATGATTGAAACGCGCTCGGACGAGAGAGAGAGAGACGGCCACCTCCGACGGATGCGGACGGACCGTCGAGGCAGCACCTTCTGCAGCTCCACCTACTCCGACGTGGCTAGGCGGTCGGAAACTGAGGCTCCGAGACACGCCGCCCCTCGGAACACGAACGGGAGGCAAGACGTCCTGGGCTCCTTGAATGTGGTCCGCGTACTGCTGGTAAACGCCGGCGAAGCCGCCGTTTAGGTCAAGCCGGCCCATCTGCTCGTTGGGGTTCTGGTGGCTGCTGGACCCGACGAAGGCGTGGAACGTGCTGGAGCCCGGAGCGTCGTTGTAGACGAGGCTCGCTCCGACATTACCCAAGAAATCCAGGGTAAAACCGGCGTCGGCGTCGCCGTATGCGGCGGGCTCGCCATTGAAGTCATCGCCATGTCCTGCCATCGAATCCGCGCAAAGGAACTTGTCGATCCGGACGACGGCGGGGTAGATCTACAGGTGGAGGCGGTGGATCTGAATGCCGGCGGTGGAATGGAGCGAGTGCGGCGGCGCTGGGATGGCGAGGACGAGAGCGGCGGCGTT